CAATCTGATAACTGTCAATTCTTCACAAGACAACCCTAACACCTCCACAAACTAGCAAGCTGAATGAGAGGAAAGGACCCACCACAGAACAGGTGTGGATGCAGTAAATGCAATTCGTTAGAAAAGAATAGCATTCAATTACCACAAGATACTTCCTTCCACCATTAACTCCTCTGCTTCCAACTAATAAAGCCCAAAGCTACCTGTAAACTCAGAAACTTACTAGGATTCACTAGGAGGACAAACATTTACACAGTTTCACTGAAACTAGTAATATTTCATGACTAAAAATGGTTTTGTTACCAATCTTAAATATAAAAGAATTGTTTCTTCTAAAATTATTAGTCCACAAAAATAAAATGATTAATTCTCTTTTTTAACAGGATACTATTTTCAATGACTAGCTTCATTATTCACAAGATTAGTACTAATATAATCAGTTGACCTCTTTACTTCTAATTTGACCACATGATGTGTTTTGCATATTTGACATATTTTTAAGGCCATGATTAGAGGATCAGATATGATTTTCTTCTAGAAGTACATTATATGTTACATTTAAAAAATGGATCAGTTATGTTCAAGAAAAAAAAACAAACTTTCAAATGATTTTATCTTTTTAAGATAGCTCTGTGAAAGGTACACAGTTCACAGAATTACTAATTCTTCCAGCTATTTTTTATCAACTAATTTTTGATTCATCATTGCTAACACCATAGTTAGCATCATCTAGCTATACTGCATTATATACCATACAGTCATTCATCACTATAACACTATAATTGAAGAAAAATGACTATGTGGGATCATATGCAGGGGGAAAAAAATTAGTATTTTTGTGAATACTTAAAACTATTTCCTGTAAAAAGATATAAGCAATAAGAGCACCAAAACATTAATTACCACAAACATAGATTCTACTCACCAGTTTGATTGCTACATATTCATTGGTGTAGAGATTTTTACCTAAGGGGAAAGCAGAATGTATATGTTTTAGTGACATTTATTCTGGGAAATTTTAAGTAAAATATTAGCTTACAGGGTCATGAGAAAGGTCATATTCCCAATGCTGTTCACATATATGAAACATGATTTTTAAGTGAAAAGCTAAACAGAGATAATAAGATCCAGCAAAACTAGAACAAAAACAGCTTGAGAATTTGGAAATTTATGCTACACATGAGAATTTTTTTTTTTAAGAGAAAACAAATCTCTCTCATGCTCCCACTCACACACACATGTTCTTACTTAATATTTCCCAATTATTAAACCATAAGACAAACTTTTAAGAAATGCTAGCATTTCAAAGATAGAGATTTAACTCTTGGTACAATAAACACTCACTCTAACTACGGTAAAATAAAAATTTTAAATGTTTTGTCATGATATTTAGCATCAACATTAGATGGCATAAACGACACTGTGGGCTGGGCGCAGTGGCTCATGCCTGTAATCCCAGCACTTTGGGAGGCTGAGGTGGGAGGATTGCTTGAGGTCAGGAGTTCGAGACCAGCCTGAGCAAGAGTGAGACCCCATCTCTACAAAAAATAGAAAAATTAGCTGGGTGTGGTTGCATATGCCTATAGTCCCAGTTACTTGGGAAGCTGAGGCAGGAGGATCACTTGAGCCCAGGAGTTTGAGGTTGCAGTGAGCTATGGTGATGCCACTGCACTCTAGCCTGGCGGGCAACATAGCGAGACCCCGTCTCATAAAAAAAATTTAAAAAAAAGACAGTGTGAAATAAATAAATAAAACCAATTATTGCCCAACCCTCCTTTTGGAGAATTCATCTAATGTCTATAAGTAGATGATTCTCAAAGCTGTTTTGACTGTTCACCAGAACTCTGGCTCTATAATTATTTCTAGGAAACAGATCTTCATCCAGACAACACTTACACATCTCAAAGTTCTTCCTGAAACATCAATTTTTCCTCTCAACTTCCCTACTTTTATTGATGGAATCAATACTCTCAGACTTCTAGACTAAGAATTTGGAGTGATGATGAGGATGAGAGCAAGAACTATCACTTAGTAAGCCCGTATTACATGCTGGGTTCTCAGTTCCTTTCACCTCCCCACCTCTGCTGATCTTTGAAGCCTTAGCTTTTAATTTCTCCTGAGTGCTTAGTACCTATCATGTATTAACAGTTTAGCCATTGCACTGGACTTCATATTGCTTCTTACACGTTTGCTCTATCTTATCCAGCTAAACTGTAAATATCTTGAGGGTGGGATTTTAATAGTTTTCTCAATGTACTATAGTGCTTAAGGCCATGTTCTGCACATATGAGACACTCAAAATCTCAACTGATTAAAAGTTATTGGTACTGTATGGGTAGTATGACTACTTTTTAAATAATACATAGAAGTAATATTTTATTTTAATTGGACTAACACATCAAACATAAATTCATAAAGTGGCATTTGCTATAGATCTTGAATCCTGGTTGAGGTTTCAATGTGGGATGAGGGCACTTACTCTTCCACTTTAGGAGTCTGGTAAGACAGATCACTCACATAGCAAGTTAAGCGAAGCAACTTTATTACTCACAGATAGGCAGCAAGGTACAACAGAAGCCTAGCATTCATGGCAAGCTAGTGTTCGAAGGCTCAGGAAAGCTGCTCAGGGCAGAAGGAGGCTCACCTCCATGTG